CTCCAGTAGAGATGAGCAGTGCTGATAGAATATTAAGAGGATAACGCTGTACAGGTACAACTCTAATTTAAAAGAAAGAGATAAAGCTGTATGTGCAATACTGGCAATATGAAGTATTTCGAGGTTCACCATAAAAAGTAAAATGTTAGCTTTTTCTAGATTTGATATTGTGATTTTGTTTCCTTTGTGGTAAGACGGCATTGACAAATACTACAGTGTCATGTTTCTGTTTGTGAGCTCATGTCACAAACATTTGACAAGCAGAGTCTGGACAGAAAGACAAAAATCTGCCCTGAGTGAGGGCAGCCCATCACCACACTGGCGGAGCATCCAACTATTGGAATGATGATTAGAGTGTTGCAATCCTCTGAGGACTCCCTCGCTGCTCTGCACCTGGCACAGCACAGGCCGCCTGCGAGGCGGCCACCACGGTGTCACCCAGCACACGCAAGCAGGCCCGGCCTCCGTGCTCCCGCCGCCCTGCTTGCCACCAGCACCGGCACACGTGCACAGGTGTTGAAAATCCAGGCCTCTGGAACGCTATGCATGGCGTGGGCAGTGCTCCTGCATCCCTGTGAGCTCTATTAGCCAAACCGAACTACAACCCTCTACCAGTTGTTTTCAAAAGCATTTCTATTACTCAGTAAAAGACTCAAAGATTTTTGATTACTCTAAAAACACAGGGCAGAATTGTTCTTAGGAATGCAGATTTTAACATGCATATGCTTTTTTATTATATTTTAATGGCACTGTCAATTTTAATGTGCGTTTGGAGCATTTTCCTTTTGCATTGTGTATATCTCAGTGGCTGATCAGTGCAGAACAGCTATCGCCCATGTTTCATGCAGTCTACTGACTCTTAAAGAGCACTGGTGAAATATGCTACTAATACTGAAACTATTAGTAATAACCTAAGCAATGTTCAAAGTACAGGAAGTAGCACAAATAACAACGAGCATTCAAAGAAACAAACATTTTAGGCTTATACAATTTAGACATAAAGCAAAGCTAGAGTAAAATTCAAAGTAACTCAACTCATGTGGGTCTTTCATGTAGTCTGTCAAGCTTGTAGACCTGTGCCTGTCCCCACTGAGGAGCTGTATTAAAATACAGTGTATCCCCTCTTTTAGCTGCTGATAGTCCAGTTTTGGAGGCCAAACTGGGCAGGCGTTTGGTAAGATAGCCAGGCAGTGTTTTAATCAAATGCACCCATAGCAAGCTATTTAGTAAAAGGTATCTCCTCATCCAAGACAGAGTTACTGTATCCTACTGACAATACTCCCCCTCAGTTTATTCATTGCTATTACCCCAAGTACAGCAGTGCTTAGGAAATGCCACGGTGTGTTATAACACACATCAATAGTAATACTTTAAATAATAAGATACAATGCTATGTTAAGGTAACTTAACCTGCATAATTCATGGGGCAAAGAACTCCCGTTGAAGATGTGTCTGGCACCATCTTTAAAAACTATTATTTACCACCTCACAGTAATGATTTATTTAAAAGGCACACATTAAAAAAATCTCTACGTTAATGTCATCGAATCATACGTTAAAATTTTTTTTAAAGTGTAACTTGATGAATCAAAAAAAAAGTTTAAAGATTTCCATTTGGATTTTTCTTATCTAAATTTGATAAAACCAGCCATTAACAACAACAAACAAACAAGCTAGATGTCAGGAAACAATGTACTAAATAGAAACAAAACAATATTTCTTTTTAACATTTGTAAGACAGGATCACAGGGTCAAGTGAGGGAGATTATAAATAATTTTGTCACTGGTGTTAGTAGACTTTCAAAGTTCAGACTCTGGGAGAACTATCTTCACTTACTAGAGCCTCAATGTGTGCTTCACAGGAAACGGAGGTTTATTTATTACAGAAGTTAAGGAAGACATGCTGCTGGGATTATGCCATGTCTTCAACTACTGTAACTCTAACTGAACTGTCATATCCAGTTAGAAAAGCTGAATTAGAATATTTTTTCCTGTGTTTGATGTACCATTTATTTGCTAATATTAAGTGACAACTCTGAATGCTAAAATATTGATTTCAACTTTTTTATCTCCTATAACTAGCATCTAAACTAGAAAGAAATCACTTTTGGAGGTCATACAATGTGCTGCTTCAGTTCTCCCAAAAGCTTCATAATTAGTCTATGTATTTGCTTTGATATCTTTTCTAAGGTTTGTGAAAACTTATTAAGCATATTCTACTGGTTAAAACAGAGCAGAAATCAAAGACTGTAAGATAAGAAATTAAGATCAGAGTCCCACCACCCACAATGACAGTCAAGCCAACAGTATGTCACCAAAGTTGTTGCAGGCTAAATGTAACCACTGTTAACAAGATTTGCCAGGGATACCACGCTGAAAGTGATCTGCAGAGGCCTGTGTGGGAAACATCCCAGGCCTCTAGGTCTTTTTAAGAGAAGCCCTTCCATTAGGATTGAGATATCCCATTAATGAAGGCATCCCGAAGCAGGAGTCAGCTCTGATGCAAATTACTCCTGTCACCACAGCATTCTTCCTTTATTGAGGTTTCTCTAGCTTAGGGAAAGGGTCTATACTGAAATTTCTTCCAGCCTTGATATTTCTGAACAATGTCATTATTTTGCCAAGGCTTTTCATGTAAAACACGGTTAATAAAATCCACACCAGATGTTTTCTTGTGGTTTAGTAAAGACTAATTCTATTATCTGATTAATATATTTTAAGCAAAATCACAAGCATCTTTGCAACATTTTGCAACATAATTTAAATACTTTTAGAATAAGTGTTTTTTTTATTTTTTACAGGTTTCCATTTGGGTTGCCTTTCTGTGACCTGGCATTTCCAAAAGTTCGCACATGCTAAAAAAATGAAACATCTGGTAAATCTGGAAGATGGGGCCAGTCACTGGGAGCTAACACAGAATTATGAGGCACAGGGGCATCCTGTGCCCCTGCTCGGGCTGACTGGCAGCGGCTTGGGCAGCTTTGAAGCCAAGCACTCTGAAAAGTGTCCAAGGAGATGCAAGACCAGTTGAAATCAGAATTCTTCCTTCCTTCTTTCCTATCAAAGGTACCAAAGCTTTGTACATATTTTCTGGAACATATTTTGGGTTGAGTACAGATGCAGCATCATTTACTCCCTCCTCAGAGCAACAGGGGAATTATGGGAAAGACCAAACAGACACTCACCTGTTTCTGAAGTGGTTGCATTGCTGTTAAGCTCTGATTATTCATGACCAATTGTTTTTTTTAGGTGAGTATGTAATACATGATTTTTTCCCCTTTATCAAGGTCCATTTATTATATCTCCAGTGAGTGCTGGAACCCATTGTGTTGACATTTTTCCCCTTAAGTATTGTTTATTGAGTTTTTATTTCGCATTTTTAACCATCCAGCAAATACTGTAGTTATGCAAATGTTTACACTGAGTGTATCTTATTTACTTTCGTACAAAAAAGTTGTTTTAATTCTAAAAATATTGAGTTTGTTTAAAGAAAAAATGATTAATAATTACTGAGAATTGGAATTTTCTAGTTGTTATAAACTGAACAACGCAGCTGAACAGCAAATCACATATTTCTGAATTATGAGAAAGATGTCAGGCACATTCCCACATTCTCCATCAGGCAGATCTTCACTAACACTAAGGAATACCTGCCAGCAAAGGTGGAGTCCACATAAAAATAAATACATAACTTAATTGACGTTTGCAGTGCTCATTTTCCAAAAGCAGCATCAGGTACTAACAGACATTCGACATTCCCAACCTGCCCACTCCTTCATAAAGTAGCAATGGTTGTAGCTTCAGAAATGGTTCCATGCTGACTCACTTTTCTGCAATACCCAAAAGAGCTGAGACAAACCACACACAGAGAATTATTACTCCCAGTTATTGCTTCCCTTGAGCTATTTGAATAATAAACAACAAAAATGCATAAAGTGAATCCAGATTTTTCTATTTTACTCTTTTAGAATTTAAGCTCTTTAAGGCAGGACTTCTTCATTCTGGATTTTGTACAGTGTTTATTTCACTTTGTCAACAATTCACATAATATATGATAATATTTGTTCTGTCCTTGCTTAAAAGGTGTCCACACAGCACTCAACAAAAAATGGACCTGGATTCGGTTGATGGTAAATACTAAAGTCTAGAATGAAAGGCAGTGTTCAAGTGCAACGGACTACCCAAGGCTCATAATAAAATAAGTGAAATATGGCTTTATAGCATTTTAATAGTTTCAGCCATAGGGAGAAAAAAAAATCATTCTGTTGTTCTGGATGGGCTCGGGATTCAGCAATAATCATGCCAGAACGAGGTGACTACATCAAGCATTTATTCAGGTGAAAGCACATAAAAGAAGCAAAGTAT